CCTATGACCCTAGCTGCTTCAGAGGCTGAGGCTGGGAGGTTCATGTGTTTGAAGCTCGGGAAACATACCAAAATCATCTCAAAATGAACAAAAAACCCAGTCGTGACAAGAGGTAGAAATTGGGGTCACTCTGGTTAATCTGACCACCTTGGAAACCAAGGAGAGACTGAATATTACCCCATGTAGCCCGTGAATTGACTGAATCCTTGAGTCAGGCTCTACCGTACAGTGCAAAACAGGCCCCAAAGTTTGGGCAGAACGGTCGCTGGCAAGGTCCGCATCACCGTGGCTGGTTGTGGATTGTACTTAGATTATAAAAAAAACCCATACTCCCCTTTGAGAATTCGACTGGTGGGGCAGGGACAAACTGCTCAGCTGTCCCCATAAGATTTACTATCCTAACTGTTTGTAGATTCAGCAGTGTTCAGTAGCAGGCAACCCTCCTGTTTCTTGGTATGAACGCTGTGAGTGTGGTGGGTGTGGGGTCTTCATCTTCTGCAGCCCCGAGGCTCGTAGTTACCCTGTTCCAGCTTTTGAATTTGGTGGATGTGCTATGATGTATTTATCCAATCCCAGGGAGATCTCTGAACATAGCTTTCCCTAATGATTATTTTCACGGGAAGATTTTTAGGACAGGAGGCATTTTTAGATGAAATAGGAGGGCTCTCTTGTGCTCAGTGTAAACAACTGCTTTGGGCCCCTCCCATGGGCAGTACAGGAGGTAGCAGCCAAGGTCCTGACAATCAGGCCTTTGGGCCACCAGCTGCTGTGATGTCAGGAGGAAGGAAAACATCTCAGAAGCTGTCTATGAGATGCTGTTAGTATAAAAGGCTCAGAGCTGAATCATGGGTCTCTGCAGCCTGCACTGAAGGGGGGACCAGCATAGACCCTAGTGTGGGCTCTTGTCCTCAGGATCCCTGGATGGCCACATAGACCCTCAGTGAAGCGGCTGTTGTCAGAAGAATGAAAATCATATGGACGAGGAAAAAAGCTAGGTGGTTTTGAGTATTTTCATGTAAAAACTTCTTTATACTGTATAGTTTTTGAACCATGTTAAAAGATTTGTTTATTCAAAAAATTAAATCAAGAGGATGAAGAGGACATTTATTTCAAGCTTCATAAAGGTTTTCTTCTCTAAATTCCCACTACTTAAGTCAGCCCTAGAAGAGAAGCAACAGTGTCTGTTTGTTGGGTGCCTATCATATGGCAGGCATTGTGACAGCCACGACATGTGTGTCACCAAACACTCCCTATAAGGAAGGGGTCTCAGGGTTCTCCCATCTCCATAGCAGGAATAAAGGCACAGGCAGGTCAAGGATGAGCTGAGGTCACCCAGACTCCAACCCTGGTCCACCAGGCTCTTGCAGCGGAAGGTGGCCAGCTGGTTTGCTCTGGGCTCGGTCATAGCTTACGTAGGACAAAAGCCTGGTCCCTGCACTGGTTTCTGGAGATTTGGAAGCATTTGATTTCCCCCCTTCTCCCACCACCTTAAGTTTCTGCAAGTAAATATAGATCATACATGTCTGAAAATACTTTAACATAAAACCATTCTCACCAGTAGGGCCGTAATGGCTTTTTTAGGCCATACTTGTGGTTAAACAGCTTCACCTCTTGCACAGGCTCTAGGATGACCCCTGTGTACTGGGCCTGGGTGCTCAGGTTTCCCTGCTGCTCCCCCTGTTCAGAGCTGGGTGACCCCTGACCAGGAGTGGAGGGCCTTGCTTGGGCTGCAGATGGTGAGGGAGGACTAGGGAGGTGGCAAGAGGCCAAGTGGTGGTCCAGGCGGAAAATCTGGTGGGGCAAAGGAGAAGGGGGAACGGACCCAGCAGGTGTGCGGAGTGAGTGGTGGTTGGAGGCCCTGCTGGATTGTGAAAGGTCTTTTTGCACAAAGTGGTGGTGGCAGACTCTTCTGCCTTTTGTACCCTCCCTGGGAGTAACTATTTCCCCCCTCATGTAACCCGGGACCCCTTCCTTCCCTCCCCGCCAGACACCTGTCTCATGCTGCAAACCACATGATGGAGGAAAATGGGGGTGGAAACCAAAACTGCTTTGGCTTCGAGCAGGAGAGAGTGGTACTTGTGCTGCCCACCCCAGGGCTCCTCTCTGTGCTGGTTCCACAAGGTCCCTTAGCTGACCCCTGGCCTCCAGGTTGCTGAGGAAGCAGGCGGTTGTGAAGCCTAGCCTGGCCCCACTCTTACTTGATGGGTGATGTGGGGGAGTTATATCCCTTTCAGAACCTCAGTTTCCTCATTTGGGATGAAGTGGTAAGATCTCACCTCACCTAGGTAAGGGCTTTGAGAAAGAGAAGCATCACTTCCTGCCCACCACAGTGAAATGGACCAAGAATGGTCCCTGTGTGACCTTAAATGTGTGACCAGGCTCAAGAACCACTGACTTTACCCAATTTACCTGAGAGTGAGTAGAGTTTGAGGTTTAGTTTTTGGTGGTGAACATGTGTAACAGAATTGAATCTTTTTTTCTTTTTTCGTTTTTTCTGTGCTGGGGAATGAACTCAAAGTCTTATGCCTGCCAGGCAAGCATTCTACCATCCCCAGTCCCATTTTAACCATTTTAAAAGTGCATTCATTACCTATTTTAAATTCATTCATCACTGTCTGAATTATACACAGTTCCATAACGCTTTCTGGGTCAGTCAGCTTTTCATTGCTGTGACAAAATACCTAAGGAAATCAGTACAAAAGGAAGAATTTATTTTGGTTCATGGTTTCAGAGGTTCTAGTGCATGGTCCATTGGTCCTGTTACTCAGAGCCTATTGTGAGGCAGACCATCATGGTGGGGAGCAGAACTACACATTTCATTGTGACCCAAAGCAGAGAGACAGAGAAAGAGACAGAGACAGAAACGAGGGAGAAAAAGAAAGAAAAAAGAGAGTCAGGCTCTCTGGATTACCTTTCTGGGCATGTTCCTGCCAATGGCCTTCCCCTGTTCTTCCGCCAGGTCCCACCTCCTGAGGTTCCCCCACCTCTCCATAGTGCCATGGTCTGGCAACAAAGACTTCAACACATGGCCTTGGAGTCATATTTAAGAAGCAACCATAGCATTCTCTCCCTATCCTCTGTGCGATTTCTATTCTTTTTGTCCCTATGAATTTGACTTTTCTATGTATCTCATGTAAGTAGATACAATATCTGTCCTTTTGTGTCTGGCTGAGTTGATTTAAAATAGTATCTACAATCTATAGCATCTATCAGAATTTTTATTCCATGACACCTGTCAGAATTTCCTCCTCCTTTATAGAAAAATAATATTCAAACACACACACATACATGGACATCCCTTGGCTGTGCGTTCCTCCATTGATGGAGGGGCTTGGACAATTTCTGCCTTTAGACTAATGAATAATGACTAGTGAATAATGCTACTATGGAAATCAGTGTACTGACATCTGTTTGACTCCCTGCTTTCAGTTCTTTTGGGTGTAGATCTAGAAGTGAATTGCTGGATCATATAGTAATCACGTTTGTTTATTTTTTTCAGTGCTGAGACTCAAACCCAGGGCCTTACACCTGCTAGCCAAGTACTCTACCACCAAGCTCCACCCCAGCCCCACCATAGTCAGCTTTTTGAACAGCTACCAAACTCATTTTCATAGTGGCTGCCTTATTTCACATTCTCATCGGCAATGTAAAAAGGGTTCCAGTATCTCCAGATCTTTGCTAATCTTTCTCTTGCCATCATTGCCATTCTAGTGATCCTGAAGTGGTGTCTCACTGTAGCTTTGATATGCATTTTCCCTAATGATCAACTATGTCTGGCACCTTTCCACATGCTTGTTGGGCATTTGGATATCTTATGTGGAGAATTCTATGGAAGGCCTTTTCCCATTACTTGTTGTTGAGTTACAGGACTTCTTTCTGTATTCTGGATACTTACTCCTTATCAGGTATATGGTTTGGAAATATCTTCTCCCATTCTGTGAATTGTACTTTCATTCTCTCTCTCTTTTTTTTTCCCCCATTAGTCCTTTCATTCTCTTGATGTTGCCTTTTGATATACAAGTTTTCATTTTGCCAGTTCAATTTATCTTGTTTTTGTTTTGTTTTCTGTGTTTTAGTATCATATTCAAGAAGTCACTGCTTTAGTTTTTTTTTTCTTTGAGACAGGGTCTCACTGTATAGTTGAGACTGACCTGGAATTCACTATGTAGCCCAGGCTGGTCTTGAACTCAACAGTGATCCTCCTGCCTCAGCCTTTCAAGTGCTGGGATTACAGGTGTGCGCCACCACGGCAGGCTTGGTTTAGGTCTTATAGTTAGGTCAGTGATCCATTTTGAATTAATTTCTATATACGGTGTAAGGCAAAGTTTCTTTTACATGTGGCTATTCATTTTTCCACCCCATCCATTGATGGGTCTGTTCTTTCCCCCAGTGAATGGTACTGACACCCTTGTAAAAAATCTGACCATTTATGTATTTATTTCTGGGCTCTGTGTTCCATGGTCTAAGTCTGTCTGATGATGTCGCACACAATTTGATTACTATACCTTGTAGTAAGCTTTGGAATGAAGAAGAGCAAATCCTCCAGCTTTGTTCTTCTTTCCCAAAACTGTTTTGGCCATTTGGGGTCCTGAAGAGAGGTGTTCTTGTTCTTATTTTATTGGTGAAGAAATTGAGGCTTGGGCGCTCCTGAAGTGGCCAGGACTGGCCAACAGTCCATGACAAACCCCATCACATCCCCTCTGTGGAGCACTTAAGGACCTGCCCTGCCATGGAGCCCTCTGGGGTGGTTTGCTCCTCCCCATGGCTGCCCCACCTCTGGCTCCTTGAGTGGGTTGGGGCAGCCCTCATCTTACTTCCTAGAGGAGGGTCTGGAGGAAAGACTGACTGCTAGCGTCGCTGCCTTCATGCATGGGTCAGTGAAGGTCTTTAAGGAACTGATGTCTACCCTGCCCTTGGCCTGCCTGGACCTGGGGCTCCTATGGAAGTCAGGATTCTGCCCTGCATTTGAGCACTGCAGCCTCCGAAGCAACAGGGGCTCCCTTCTTGGTTCTTCCTGGACATCTGTCCTATAGTCAGGACCAGCTCCAAACCTATTCCTCCAGGCACAGTGACTCTAGACACAGGTCCGGGAGGTGGGCAAGTGACAGTCCAGCCTAGTGGTCTGTGTAGTGCATGCACAGCAGCACAGGATGCAGGTGCTGTCTTGGCTGTGTCTGTAGTGATCCTCACTGTGGTGTAGAATGAGATAGAAATGGACCCTGCAAGTTGACACAGGAACAGTGTAGCTGATGCCAGAGCCAGGGAAAGCTAGGAGCCAAGACTGAGCCTCAAACAGTGCTGGCAGAATTGCATTGCAGTCCTCAGATGGTTCCTAACCCTAGACAGAAGGAGCTTGCACAAAGGCTCTGTAAGTGCTGGCCTGAGTCCTAACAAGAACATTAAACAGTGAATGGTTCCAGGCACAGGGCTCCCCCAGGCAGCCCAGCTCCCAGCCCAGAAGACAGCTCTTACGCTGTTGGAGCTGTTGTTTCCCACTGGGTGGGCTCTGTTCCCGCTGGCTGTGTTGGGCAGGGCAAATCCTTTCTCAGGCAGTAAAACAGAGGGCACCATCTTCATCTGTTTTCTGGCGTTGGAATCCAGAGTGGCCCCCTTTGATTCTGTTACAATCCCAGTATCCCTGGTGAGTTCCTCAATTCCGTGAGCCTTTGGTTTCTCACCTGCAAATGTCTTCTGTGGTTAGAAGGTTGGGACTTGGAATCAACATTAATGGCCTGGCCAGTCCCAGGCCCCACTAGCCCAGGCTGGGAGCGAGCTCAGACAGAATCCAGACCTACTGAGGCTGGCAGAGGAGGCCACTATGGCCTCCAGAGGCTGCAGGGTCTGTCTTTGCCCTTGGAAGGGGCTGGGTCTGGGGCAGATGTGGGCCCCTGCAGCTTCATCTTGGCTCTGTGAAAAACCCCCAAACCATGCACAGGGTGGGCTCCCAGTGGGGAGCAGAGCACCCTCCTGTCAGGGCCCAGGAGACACGCGCTCACCCTGGTTTATAGATGGGACCATGGAGGCCCAGAGACAGGGAGCATCTGGTCCAGCTGAATGTCAGAGTGAGGATTCAACTGCAGTTCTGCTTTCTCACTTCCCTCCCTGCTGATCTCGGTGGATGTGTACCCATCGTTATGGCCATTTCCAGGGCTCCTTAAATGCCTGGGCCTTTGCCAGGCCCCTCCCATCTTCCCTCACTTGATCCTCAGAGCCCGGGATGGGGTAGCTTGTACTTTTCTGTACCCACAAGCCCCCACCCCGCTGCCTCCCTTGCCCTCAACTTGAACTGGGACCCTTCTCTGCTCCGACATCCTGGCCCTCAGACTCCATCCCTCTCTTTCCCAGCTGTGGCTGCAAGGGCTCTGTTCACCCCTGACCTCTGCCCTGCTGCACATCTCTCCCCACAGCTGTTCCTAGTCTCTACCTTTTCTGCACATCTGGGTTTTATGAAGGGTAGAAAAGGTGGCCCTAGCTGGGCCTTTGAGACCTCACAGCCTGGGCAGGAGTACGGGTCTGGGACCTCAATGTCCTCACAACTGAGGAGGCCGATGCAGAAGAGCAAAGCTTTCCAGGCAGGTAGACCTGGTCCAAGGGCAGATGTGCCCACCCTGTGCATGGTTTGTCACTGCCCTGTGCCCAATATGACTGAGAAAAATTGCCAAGCTGTCCCTTCCCCACTCACGGGACTCTTGAGGATCCTAGAAGCTGCCAGACTCTCTGGCAGGGTCTGGGGCCTGCAGGGTGACCACCAGCCACAGGCCTGTGGCTCACAAGTTTGTTGGAGCCTGACATGGACCCTGACATCTCAGGGGCTGGTGGCTTTGGTTGGCGGGGTTAGGCTATGAGACTGGGGAGCCTCAGCATGCATTTGGTGAGGGGCTGGGCCATTCTAGAAATTCCCCATTCATCTTCTCTTTTCTTTTCCTCTCTCTCTCTCTCTTTCTCTTTTTTTTTTTTTGGTGCAGTGCCTGACCAGCAACAGCACAGTGACAGACATCTGTGACTCTCTCCTCTCCTCTTCCTCTCTCTCTCCTTTTTTTTGGGGGGGCGGGGTTTGAGACAGGGTCAGTTGAGACTGACCTGGAACTCACTATATAGCCCAGGCTGGTCTCAAACTCACAGTGATCCTCCTGCCTCAGCCTCCCGAGTGCTGGGATTACAAGTGTGTGCCACCATGCCTGGCTCTCTCTTTCTTTCTTGATACTGGAGGCTGAACCAAGCCCTTCACACTGAGCTATATCCCACCCTCCCTTTAAATAACCATGCCCAGCTTCAAAGATTCTTTCTAACCTCAAGTTTCCATTAGACCCAGAGTAGCTCATCTAAGTCCATGAATGTGCTGTGTTCTCTACAAAGTAGAGTCTATCTTTGCCCTCTCTCCTCAACCTCTAGCCTGGGCTGTCTCAAAACAGCTGCCAGACACCCATCCATCTGCTCCTACAGGGACCCTCCCAGGCCTTGGGTAGGAGGCCCTCAGATACAAGCGCCCAACTCCTGATACCATCTGGGGCTCAGGGCCTCTCTGTGGAGCTCTGACCTGCTCTTAGACCATAAGCAGCAGCCCAGCAGGTGATGTGGCTGCCCTGCAAACCAGGGTGCCCCCTACTCCTGATGGCTGGCCCTTGCAGATCTGAGGGTAAGCGTCGGCTTTGGGACCTTCTCCCTGTTGTTTCTCCTCCTGGATTCTTCTGGTCCATGCATGCACCCCTCTGGGGTATGGCCCCTCAGCCAATCCGGTGGAAGGAGCCCAGCTATCCCCACTGCCTTAGCAGCCCCCACCCCAGTCTCCTTATCCTCCTTGTCCTACCTCAGAAGAGTGAGGACATGACTGAAAAGCTAATTCAAAGGCACCATGTAGTGCGTCATTGAATCTACAGTAAGCAGTGGAAGGAAACTCAGGAAACACTAGTCACAAAGCCACATCCTCAGGGGCCTCCCTGGGAGCTCTGCAGCACTCAGCTGGTGTTTCTGAGTATGTGGTGCACAGATGCCGGGCCTGGGTCCCCCAGAGGAGGCCAGCCTGAGGGATCCTCCACCTTCTCTTGCTGTCCCCTGACAGTCTCTGTGGTTGGCTTCTACCATCTACAGGAGACAGCAACAGCAGAGGAAGGCGGCAGCTAATGAGTATGAGAGGGAAGCAGGGCGGAAGCAGCCAGCGCCCTGTGCTTTTTGGTGGGGGTGTGTGCGTGCGTGTGCGTGTGGAGGAGCTGGCTGCAATCTCTGGGTGACAGGGAGGACATCTAGTTGCCCTGTTCGGTCTCTGCTTCCTCCATAAAATGTGATTTTGAAAAAAGGTTTTAAGAAGATGAAGAACCCTGAAACATGTCAGACATTGGAAAAATGTGAAGGAACGTGGTGGGGTAGGCAGGAAACTCTTCTCTTCTACCTTCCTGATCTCACCTCATGCCACCCCTGGGTGTCTCTCTGGTAGTTTTCAGGTTTCACCCAGGCCAGCCCAACATGATACCCAAACCCCAGGCCTTTAGCTGAGAGTGCTTGGTTTTCTGTATGCACAGGAAGCCTTGGGTGGGGAGGGGAAGTGGTTGCCCTGTCAGTGCCACAGTGTCCCCTCACCACGTTGTCAGCAGGTCTTGTGTCCCTGTGTGGTAGACAAGGAACAGGCAGCGCCTCTGAGGCAGTGAGAGGCTCAGGTCCCTGGTGCTGCTATGGCTGGTGATGGCGCCCCAAGTGGCAGGTTCCACAGCCCATACATCTGGGCTGGTTCTTCATGTGATTGCTTCCCATCCCTGTGGCCAAACCCAAAGACAACTGAGGCTTCTTCTGGCCCACAGTTTCAGAAGTGGCTGGATCCTTGGTTGTGGGGTGCAGGTGCAGTGGGACAGAGCCAGGGACCTGATACTGTCCCCTGGGTCTCACCCTTATGGTCCACTCCCTTCAGCTAGGACCACTTCTTGTTCCCATCATCCCCCACAATGCTCTAAGTTATGGCCTCATAATGGATGAACCCACTGATGACAGCAGAGCCCTCATGATCCTGTCACCTTTGAACACAATAGACTTCAGGGGACATTTTAGATCTAAACCATAATATTGGTCTTCCAGTGCCCACCGTTCCCTCTCTGCAGCTGCCTACTTCTATTCCCTCCGGTGACACCCAACAATCCATTCCACGCAGCTGCTGTTGGGGTTTCTCTCTCCCAACCAGACTACTTCCCAGACAGCATTAGCAGGTGGCTTTCGGGCTACTCTGAACAACCTCTATGTGGTTCCCAGAGCAACCTCAGTGCTGATCCCTGTGTGTTGTGCCTCCCTTACCCCTCCCTGCAGCAGCTGCAGTGCCCCCACCTGTCTTGCCAGGTGAGATGCACTGTCAGCCTAGGGCTCCCCAAACCTGCAGGCCCACCCCGACCCACCCCTGCCCTGAGGAGTCACTTCCTCTCCCTGTGTCCCTCCACGGTCTAGAGGCCCCGGAGGCACAATCGCTTCATCCTGCTTCTTCCTGGCAGATGGAACTAGGGCCAAAGCCCAGCAGGTCTGTCCCTTCCTCTCAGGTTGTAGGTTTAGAAGCCCTGGAATTGAATCTGAGGGAGCATTTGAAAAGGTTCTGCCCTCTTTAAATGCACCCTTGGGTCGGAACTGTGTCCCAGCATGTCACGGGCTGAGGGAAGATTCTGTCTAACCAGGTATGGCCTCCAGTAGGCGGGGAAGGACACCGGCCATGCTACCTGCTTATCCTGAGCCTGGGCTTCTGCAGGGAAGCAGAGGAATGGAGGTTAAGAGCCAAGATCCAAGTCCTGACTGTGCCCTGCAGGTCCCCAGCAGGTTGGGTGACCTCTCCTGGTCCTGCTGTCCTCTGCTGTGAGTGGTGTTTAAAGCCAGTCCTGGATGAGTTCTGACCCCAGCTCGCTGTTCTCACTTGGCCCATTTCCTCCGGGAAGGAAGTTGTTGCTGAGAAAGGCTGGGGTCAGCCTAGGGTGTGAAACACAACTAGTAGGTCACACTCCTTCCTCAAACCTGTTCTCTCAAACCCAGTTGGACCTTCTGTGACCCTTGTCCCCCGCAGATGCTGTCAGGGAAGGAGAGGTGGCCTCCAACCCATATGCCCATGAGACCAGGAAGGGAAGTGGCTTGCTTGGGGCCGAGTCTCTGTGGCTACCTTGCAGCCACCAAGAGTGATGTGTGCAGGAGAAGAGGAAGTGGCGGTAAATATGAGGATGGCTCCTCCACCCCACAGGAAGGGCACAGGAGGGACCAAGCCTGTGCAAAGTCTGGCAATGGTGCATCCTGGGCCCCCAGGGGAAGAAGCAGTGCCCCCCCCGCAGGCAGGACAGGGCAGCAGACTTTTGTACCCACCTTCCACACTGAGCTCTCTGCAGCGCATCTGGAGCCCCGGGGCAGCTTGTGGGCTGCACATCTTCCTCTTCTGAAGGCACCTGGCACCCTCAGCCTGGGGCAGGTTGCACTGGTACCTGGGGCTGTTTACTGCTGCTCCTCTGTCAGGCAGCTCTCCTCACCCAGCCTGGCACACAGTGAGCCCCTGAGAGTTCCAACAACTGAAGTATATCCCAGAACACAGCTTTACTTGGAGGGGGAAAGAATCTGAGGAATCATTTCCAAAGTCACTTTTACATGCCAGGTGTGGTGGCACATGCCTGTAATTCCAGCACCCAGAAGGTAGAGGCAGGAGGATCAGTGAGCATTCAGGGCCAGCCTGAACTACATAGCCAGATCCTATTAAAAAAAAAAAAAAAGA